ATACCAAGAAATACAAGTTAGTAATACTCCTGATCATGGATGGTCTTGTGAGATTTATTGAGGTACCAGGACCTCACCATGGGCTGATGAGCAATGTAAGGTGTGTGAATATTAAGCAAAGATGAGTTTCAGCTTATGTGATTCTGATACTTTTGAGAGTGACTTTAACAAAAAGAAAAATCCAGAAAAGGCTGATATTTGGTTGGATGTTACAAGCATTCAGAACAAGAGTATAATGAAGGCCTAAAGGAAACTGTGTGGTATATATTTGGTATGTATACATTTTTTTAAATTAAGGAGATAGATAAAATATGCAGGGCTTTCTGACTTACTGCATGTGGTGACAAGATGAATAAGGACTTGGAAAAGACCAAGGATAACTCAGCTCTTTAGCTTGATTAATCATCACTCTGTTTTTGCCCACAAGAGAGTACAGGTAAATGAAGAGACCAAAAGCTCTAGCAGGCTTTTATTCTGAGCTTTTCCATCTCATGGATTTGATTTTTTTAGGGAGGTTTGGTATTTATAATATGCAAAATATGATGTTGACTTTGAAATAAGTAAGTATGAAAAAAATAGGATTTTCCTCAAAGAATTCTCAATAAACGTTAGGAAACAACTGAAGTTTACTGTCGAATAATAGATAAAATATATGGCTAATAAATGCCTACAAGAAGCGTCTCTGCAAAGACTTAAGGAACATTCTTGAGCAGTTCAAGACTACCTATAATGTGCATAACCCTCAATTTGAAAATACTTTACATCAAATTCTATTTCTCCTCCTCCTTCTTCTTAATAATTTTTAGCAGAATGTATGTTCAAAAAAGAGTCTTTTTTCTTTAACTAGGAACTGATAATGGAGATAATTTTTTAGGTTAATTAATTAATTTATTCATTGCAATTTCAGATACTCAGGAGGAAAGACAGAGAGGAAGGCTTTCTGTCCACTGATTCATCCCCAAGTACGTACAAGGCCTGGAGCTAAGCCAATCTGAAGCCAGGAGACCAGACATTCTTCTGGGTCCCCACAAGGATTCAGGGTCCCAAGGTTTTGGGCCATCCTCAACTGCTTTCCTGGGCCACAAGCAGGGAGCTTCCTGAGAAGTGGTTTTGCCAGGATTAGAACCAGCGCCCTAATGGAATCCTGGCGTATGCAAGGCAAGGACTTTAGCCTGTAGGTTACCACATCAGGCCTAGAGCTAATATTTATACTGTGTCTTATTTGGTTGGCTCTGGGTCAACAAAAATTCAGGCAAATTAGATGAGAATTGTGTCGGGCCTGATGTGATAGCTTAGTCCTCTCCTTGAACATGCCAGAATCCCATATGGGCACCGGTTCCAATCCCTGCAGCCCTGCTTCTCATCCAACTCCCAGCTTGTGGACTGAGAAGGCACTTGAAGACAGTACAAAGCTCTGGGACCCTGTACCCCCGTGGGAGACCCAGAGAAAGCTCCTGGCTCCTGGATTTGGATTGGCTCAGCTCCAGCCATTGCAGCTGCTTGGGGAGTGAATCATTGAACAGAAGATCTTCCCTGTCTCTCCTCTCTGTATATCTGCCTTTCCAATAAAATTAAAATAAATCTTTTAAAAAATAACCTTAAAAATAATTGTGTCAGGAAAAATAATCAGGCATATATATGCAATCTGTGAATATAAATATCCGTGGTTCTATGTAATGTTTGAATTAATTGATATGAACAGACATTTAAGAAGGCGATTCAAACCTCATTTTTATTCTTTAGAAATGTAAATAATGACACTTCAATGAAGAATATTGTTTTCAGGTACCCCTGACCCGCTAAGTATGATCATGTGAAGTTTGGAGCAAATCTTCTGTGACTCTGGTGGCAGAAGCTTTGATTAGAACATCTTCATTAAAATAGGGGCTGCCCTTGTGCATAGAAGTTCAATTCCAGCATGAAACACTTCATGCATGGTGACCTTAAAACACAAATAATGATTATTTTTCAAGGAATGGTCTTTCAGTTTGTTTTCTTAGATTGATTTAGTTAAAATGAGATTCTTTTCCCTTTGCAAATAGAATATGGAAATATTTTTAAACTTATCAAAGTATATACATTAAACTGAAAGCACATTAAAACTCTAGAGGAAATAAATTATTCAGTTGCTTAATTACTTTCTCTTTTATTCTATCATATACTGTTTATTTTTAAGTAGCTAATAAATTATTATGCATGAAATATGTGTTAGGCATTAAAGATAGTTATTTAATATTTACAACACCATTATTCTCATATTAAATATTAGGAAAATGGACAGAAAATTTAAATAACCTGATCAAACAGGCACGAAGTAATAAATTCCTCATGCGAGATTGTGACTTAGAACTCAGTAACAAACCATTAGTCCTTGTGCCTGATTCTTCTCATACATAAATGTTTTAGGTGTGTTTTTTGTTATATTTTTGTTGTTGTTACATCATTTTTTGCATCATTTTTTAATTAGACAATTTAATGTGAAATCTAGACTTTTCTGGTAAAGAGAGTTTTTTTTTTATGTTATATATAGCACCTTTGTATGACTTGTTGATTTGAGAGACATGTCAGAAATCATACACTGAAGAACAAAATTCCTGCATTTTCACTATCAAAAGTAAAATTAAAAGTAGGGGTGTCATTGTACAATGGCATAAAAAGATGATCTTGCATCTGCAGCACCAGCATCCTGTATTTTTTGCCAGTGTAGTCCTGGCCCCTCCACTTCCAATCCACCTTGCTGCTTAAGTCCTGAGCAAGTAGCACAGCATGTTTGAAGGCCTTGGGACTATGCACCCACATAAGAGACCAAAAAAGATCCTGACTCCCAACTTTGAAAGAGCCCAACTCTGAAAAAGCCAGAATCTATCAGTCTCTCTATCTCTGTAACTCTTTCAAGTATAAATCATATATATATATATATACACACATATACACATATGTGTATATGTATATACACATACATGTGTGTATGTGTGTGTGTGCAAAGTGGAACTTGAATAGCAATATTATCTGACGTATGTGAATTTTTCCTCAAGAAATGCCTGATTAGATACCTCAGATCATGTATCTATGCAAGATCATGTCTGAAAATTACAAATTACCTTTGGAAGGTGAAAAAGAATAAACTTACACAGTATGTCTAGGAGTTGCTGCTGCTCCACTTCTAATCTAAAGGAGATGAGAGTAACAGCACTCTAGTTCTACCCTGCAACCTGAAATTTGGAATTAGACACACAAGTACTGTGGAAACTAACGCGATGCACATGAATATGACACAATGCAATGACATTGAAGATAAGAAACAATGAAATCTTAAAGAGTGGAAGATTCTTTCCATTACCCTTAGAGGAAACAGTTTGAAACATGAAAGTGAAATTGCTTTTATAATAAGTATGTTTAATGCAAATTGTATTCAGAATACAAGCAGGCATATATTTCTTCTTTGATAAAAGAGCAATTTAAAGGAGAATGCACATTATCTAAGGGTTCATAACATTGTGCCTTAGGGGGATTAAGTTATCTAAAACTTTGGAGGCCTGCAGATTTTATTTATTTACTCACAAAGAAGGGGTTCTTCATGATTTGTTGCTGTAAGAAAATTGCCTCTTAGCTTTTGTATTGATTTGCCTTTCTCAAAATGAGGGAAGCAAATGTAATCCATTAGCTCTTTGTGCCTAAATTTTAATATGGAGTATCAGGAACTTGAGCCGTTACTAAGCTGCAAAGTATTTAAAGATATGCTTTGAATATTTGAAATAATAAAGATTTGAACTTAACTCAAACCTGTAATGAAATGTTGGATAGTTCCTATAAAGAAAAGAGATCTTTACCCTAAGTTTTCCATTCAGCCACATGAAGATAACATGGTGGCCAAAGTAGCCAAACAGGAAGTGGATCCTGAAACTAAATAGTATTTGAACAAAATCTAGCTTCTACATTCATATTTTTAGCTATTGTAGATAATTATTGAGGATATTAAATTAAGCCCAAACTGCTGGTTTTATCCATCAGAGGATGGAAAATGTATGCCTGGATATGTGCCCAACATAAATGATTGCGCATACACATTATTCAGTGTAAGCAAAAATAGTTACAGCAGTATTCAAAATAGCTAAAAATGAAATAAAACGTGGCTCCTGAAAATTGGTTGAAAGCATGTGGTAGGGCTCTGTATGATGGATCAGTGGCTAAACCCTCACCTTGGAAGTGACAGGATGCCATATAGGCATAGGTGCCTGTCCTGACTGTTTTAATTCGAATCTGGTTTCCTGCTTGTGGCCTGGGATAGCAGTAGAGGATGGTTCAGAATTCATTCATTTGGGATACCCTGAAGAAACTCCTGGCTCCTGGCTTTGGATCATCTCAGTTCCGGCTATTGTAGCCAGTTGAGGAGTGAATCAACGTACAGACGATATTTCTCTCTCTTTGCTTCTCCTTTCCAATAAAAATAGGCAAATCTGCCTTTCCAATAAAAATAGATAAATATTTAGGGGGGAAAGTTCATAATTTTTGTTTTATGGGAAATCAAGGTACATGTTACAGAAGGAATGAGTCTAACAGTCACAATGTGGAATGAAAACAAGCCAAAAAAAATACCATCTTTCTTTTTATGAAACATGTTTTTATAAAAGATTCTATGGTACTAAATGTCAGAACAGTGGTTACCTGTGAGGAAGGAGGAGAACTACTTAAATAAAGAGAACTAGGGTCATACTGGGATGCCAGCAGTATTTCTTCTTTGACTCATGGAGGACTTCCATATGCTCTAGTATATAAATATGTAAAATTAGCATTAGCACAGAGTGAAGTATATAAATTAAAAAGATGTTTGAGGCAGGGTAAAAAGAAAACAATACACTTAATAAAGAATGTCAAGTAGTATGTCTAAAGTTTGTCATTAATCCAACACGTTTATCACTGATATGAATGATATAAAACTATATCAAATTTGCTGATATTACATAAGGTATTGTATGTTGTATGATTTTCAAAAATATATTGTGCTCGCTTTGGCAGCACGTATACTAAAATTTGAATGATACAGAGAAGATTAGCATGGCCCCTGCACAAGGATGACACGCAAAAATATAGCAGATAGTATATGTGATCAGATTAAGCAAGCCAACATTTACTGAAAATAAAAACAATATGAAGTTTATATTGAATTTTTTTCAAATGCCTTCTCTGCATCTATTGAGATGATCATATGGTTTTTATTCTTCATTTTGTTGATGTGGTGTATCATGTTTTTGATTTGTGTATGTTAAACCAGCTTCATGCTGGGATAAATCCCAGCTTATCCATGTGAATGATCTGTCTGATGTATTATTGAATTCCATTGGCTAATATTTTGTTGAGAACTTGTGCATCATCAGGTATGTGAGTCCTAGTTCTCTTCTATTGTGTTTCTCTCTGGCGTTGGTGTTAAGGTGATATCGGTTTGTAGATTTTAGAAGGATTGCCTCCCTATCCCTTTTATTAAATAGATTTTGAGAATTAGTGTAAATTCTTCTTAAAATGCTTCGTAGAATTCCACATTGGGGTCATCTGGTCCTGGGCTTGCTTTATTTGGGAAGGATGTAATTACTAATTAAATCTCTGTCCTAATTATTGGTCTATTTGGATTTTATTGACTTCATGATTCAGTTTTGGTAAATTCTGTATGTCAGAAATCTATCCATTCTGATTTGCTGGGGTATACTTCTTGTAGTAGTTCCTAATGATTCCGTTATGTCCATTATTCTCTTTCCATTTTGTCAGATTTTATTGATTCATTCTCCTCCCTCTTTTTTTTTTTTTTTGATAAATTGGGCCAGTGGTGTAACTATTTTATTGATCTTCCTAGGAAGTAACTCTTCTTATGTAAAGGATATCATGGTTTCTATTTGTTTATTTCATAATTGCTAGTATTTCTTGTTTTCGGCTAATCTGAGTTTATTTTGTTATTGTTTTTCTGACTCCTTCAAATATATAGTCACCTCGTTTACCTGGTGCCTTTCCAGTTTCTTGAGGTGGGCACTGATTGCAATGAACTTTCCTCCTACCATGGCCTTGACCATATCTCACACGATTTGATGAGTTGTGTTGATGCATTTATTTGTTTCAAGGAATTTTTTTGCATCCTTTTTGATTTATTGTATAACCCTTTGTTTATTCAGGAGCATATGATCTTGTTTCTTACTTCTGCAAGCAGATACCCAATTATCCCTAAAGAAGTGAGAAAGAAGACCCCCTCCCCTTACACAAAAATCAACTCTAAGTCAATCAAGGGCACCTCCTTTCTCCCTATTCTCCCACCCCCACTGTTTTCTGCTTAGTATTACAACAGTATAGTCCTTCATCAACAGTCACAAGTCCGTCCTTCTGCTATTTAAGTGTATCATGACATTGTAGGTACAAACATGGATGTTTATTTGTATAAAAAGACTTGCTATCATTTGACAATATGTGGTTTTCCCTTTTGTTCTGATGTGAATTTTTTTTTTTTCAAAATAAGTGCCCACTCTAAAGCTAGAAGCCAGGAGCAACTTTTATGTTTCCCACATAGGCACAGGGACACAGGCTTGTGGGCTGTACTCTGCTGCTCTCCCGGGCACATTAGTGGAGAGTTGGGTCAGAATTAGAGGAGCTGGAACACGAACCAACACCCATATGAAATGGCAAGGCTACTCACTATGCCACACGACCAGCCCCCATGATCAGAGTTTTAAAAATTCATACTCTATGTTAATGATGTGATCACTTATAATGGTAGAAACAGTGTCTGTCTTGTTCATCCCATAAACTGATGTCGGTGATAAATGGCAAGAGTGATATGTTTACGTATAAAGCAATTTGGAGATATACTAATACATCATATGCATCTGATGAATAGTAGTGATTAATACCAAAATATCATGTTGAAATAATTATAAACTAAGTTATGATAGTCTTTATTTTGCTTCAATATCTCTATTTACTTTATGATATCATTTTGTGATGCATTTGCATATATCCTGGGAATTTCCTTACCCTCTCCCCAAGTTCCCCCCGCCACTGAGTTCCCCTGTATCATTACTATAGTATAGTTCTTCATAGACAGTCATATGTTCATCATTGTGGGCATGGACAATGGTAAAGAGTCCAGAATCCTATTGTCAAGATATAGTTAACAGTTTCATTGGGAGTCCATGTTTGATCTAGATTTAGAGATAAATGTTGCATTGTATCCTCACATCTGGATATGATAGTCTCCATTACACAGTTACTAGACATCCCCTTAAATGAAAAGCCACAATACAAAATCAACAGTAGGAAGAAAAATAGAAATTTATAATGCCATGAAGTTAAATAAACATGCTGATGGATATGGTAATCTTTATTACACAATCACTGTACATCCCCATAAATGAAAGGCCACAAAACAATCAACAAGAGGAAGAAAAAAACCAAAAACTTACAGCTCCATGAAGTTAAATAACATGCTACTGAATGACTAATATGTCACTGAAGAAATGTAAAAGAAAATCAAGAACCTTTTTGAAGAAAATGATGGTACTGTATGATCTATGAGTCAGGAATGAGAAACAAAGTGTTTTGAAGATGTGAAACTAACAAAATCAAAATCCCATGATACATAATTTCTGCTGATCTTTGTTGGTGAGATATGTCTTCTGTAGCAACAAATAGATGGGTTTTGTTTTTTAATCCAGTCTACTAATCTATATCTGGTTGATGAGTTTAAGCCATTTACATTCAGGGTGAATATGAATGGGTGGTAATTTGGTCCTGTCATTTTAGCAATAGGTTGTTCATTGGTTTAGTCTTCTGTTGTCGTTTGCCTGGGATGTTCTTCACATTTGCCTCTGGTTTTTGTGAGTGCTATTCCTCTTCTCTGTCAAGAGAACATCTTTAAGTATCATTTGTAGGACAGGTTTGGAAGAGGCAAATTTTTTTAACTTTTCTTGACTGTGGAAAAATTTTATTTCATTTTTAAACACAAAAGAAAGCTTTGCTGGATATGTTATCCTAGGCCGACAATTTTTTTTCTTTTAGAAACTGGAATATCTCACTCCATTCTCTTCTTGCCTGTAGAGTTTCCTGTGAGTTTAATTGGCATTCCTTTATATGTCTATTGATTTTTTTCCCTTGCACATTTAAGGATCTTGTCCTTATGTTCAATTGAAAAGAGCTTGATTATCATGTGTCATGGTGAAGATCGCTTTTGGTTAGCCCTGTTGGGAGTTCTGTGCCCCTCCTGGATCTTGTTTCCCAATTCTTTCTCCAGATTAGGGAAATTTTCCCTTATTATTTCATCAAATACATTTTTAAACCCAGTTATTTTTCTGCTCCTTCTGGGACTCCCATAACTCTTATATTGGGCCTTTTTTTTAAAAGATTTATTTTTTATTATTTTTTATTGGAAAGGCGGATATACAAAGAGGAGAGACAGAGAGGAAGATCTTCCGTCCGATGATTCACTCCCCAAGTGAGTGCAACGGCCGATACTATGCCAGTCTGAAGCCAGGAGCCTCTTCCGGGTCCCAAAGCTTTGGGCTGTCCTCGACTGCTTTCCCGGGCCTCAGGCAGGGAGCTGGAAGGGAAGCGGGGCCACTGGGATAGAACCGGTGTTCATATGGGATCTCGGGCATGCAAGGCAAGGACCTTAACCACTGCGCCACCACACGGGGCCCTATATTGGGCCTTTTAATAGTAACTTTCAATTGTTAAATCACTTTTTTTTTTTTTTTAGCTTGACCCAGCTCTGCTTCCAGCTTTTTGTTTGTTTCTCCCTGGTGAAAGGAAATATCTTCCAATTCTGAAATTCTTTCTTTGGCTTTCTATTTTGGAGACTTTCCACTGTACTGTTAATTTGTTCCACTATATTCTTCATTTCTGATATATCAGCTTTCATTTGATGTATTTCCTGCTTAACAGGTTGCTTAAATTTTTAGAACTCGTGAATTGTGTGCTTCTTGTTGTAGATAAGAAGCTTTATAATATGTGTTTTGAATTCTGTATCTTCCATTTTCTCGATATCTTGTCAGTTAACTCTGAGGTTGGCAAAGGGTTTTGCTCCTTTGCAGGGGAGTCTTCAGCAATATGCGTTGTACTTATGTCTCTTTTTTTCTTGGTCTTTGTACTTCTGATGATCAGATTCTTCTCCTTGGGACAGGTTTCTAAGCTGTGTCAGCCACAGGACTACAATTTGGTTTTACTTATTGTGATGGACACATAGGTCTTGGTTTGCAGAAAATCTATTTTATATCTACACTGTAACATTTTTCTCACCTTTTAACTTGGTTGTTACCCTAGGCAAAACATTTTTGATCTAATTAATATTTTATCTCATAGATATATTCCTCAATTTGGTATGCATTCCATTCAAAGTGTTTATTCAAGTTAAAATATCACTGTGAAAAAATGAGAAAAGGAATTTGAATATGAAAGGATGAAATGCTTTTCCTATCATGTTTGTCCTCATTAATGCATCCTTTCATTAGTACTTTGATCACTCAATCTCAAATGCACTCAAATGCCCCCCCTCCCGCCCCCGCACATATGGAAGGCTCAAGCTGAAGGAAAGGGGGAAGAGACAAGGGGAACAGTTTTGGAAGACTTAGTCCGATTATCCCACGTGGCGTTTCACAGGAAAGGCAGGTCCCTGTGAGGACAAGATTCATCAGTGTTGTGAAATGTTGGTCTGAGCCATTTGGAAATAGGCTTGGTATTACTAACTGTCTTCTGCACATGTGACTACTTTTGACTAAAATTGGGTAAATTATAGTCTCTACCCATGAAATATCTAGCAATCTAAATCGAAGAAGTAATAAATCTAATATATTACTAAAATATATGCAAAATATAGCAATATACAAAAGCATTTCAAGTGGTTCATGAGAAAATGAAATGTAGATTTAATTTTGTTAGAGAATTTTAAAACCATACATATTTTTCACAACAGCTATCTCCTATGAATATTTTGAGAGTACATTATATTTTTGGATGGAATGTTTTGTTAATTATATTGAAAAGAATACTGCGGGACTGGGAAACCCATTGGAGAGAAACAAAAGCTATCAGAATGTCACAATCTTTTATTCTATCTCTTGTTTTTGTAAAGATTGT